GGCCCATGAGGTAGCGCCGTCCGCCGACCCGCGCCCTGCACACTGGACCTGCTGCCTCTGAGCCTCGACTGGACCCCAGAGCCCCTCCACCATCCCCCTCCACAGCCCCGAGCCCGCGCCTTCCCGCCTCCCCCGGGGAGACGCTAGCTATCCGCGTCCCCCACTCCGGACATTCCATGTAGACGACAGCCACCGCCCCAGGCAGAGCCGCTGTCAACGTAGCAAATAAAGTCGTCCTATTTTCCTGGCCGTGCCTGTCTCCTGCCTGACACCACAGACCTGGGTACCCCCTCGTGTGTCTGCTCCTGGCATCCCCTGACTTTTTCAGGTGATGGTGAAGCGCCCCTTTCTGCACGTCCGTGTCCTCTTCTGACGGTAATATTTGCAGCTCACGCGCGTGCGCAGTGCTCTGTTCAGCGTTCTTATGTGTCGTCGTTTAATCCTTAGGACTGTGGAGTACCGTTCCTCCCCTTCTTCTTTCAGGTTTCATTTTTGGTCGTGCCACACGGTTTGCAGCATTTTAGTTTTCCAGCCAGGGATCAAACCCTGGGCCCACAGCAGTGAAATCACAGAGTCTTACCCACTGGACCCCTAGGGAGTTCCCAGTCCCCCTTTTACAGATACGGAACCTGAGGCTTAGAGGTCGTGCAGCAGATAGTCAGAGCTGGGACCAGGTCGCTTTGACCCGAGTCTACGCTCTTAACTCTACGCTCTTAACCGTTCTACCCTCCTGTGGAGGCAAGAGAGAACAGGATGTCTCAGACGAGCGCCAGCACCTACGAGGCGTTAACGGGGGCAGCTCCCTGCTTTCCCAGCCGCCACATCCTGGGCTGTGTTTGTGGTCCAGTCCCTCCCTCACATGAAGATTCAGGCTCAGCTAGAACCATGTACACTGTCCCCCAGGGGAGAGTGGGTACTCCTGACGTCATCCCAGCAGTGGGGCCTTGGCCGAGCCCCGCTGTAGAGATGCGGGTGGTCATCCAGTCATCTGTGCTGGGTGGGGGCGACAGGAAAGAAAAGCCCCTCCTCAGCCTCATTCCTGGAAGCCGCGGTCCCCCTCTCCCCAGCTTGCCCTCATGGGAGCTCAGTGAATGTTGGCTCAAACTGAGGACCAGGACGTGGGGTGTGGAGGGGCATCCACAGACCCTCCGCTGGACGCTGAGTCTCAGCGGCAGTTCGGGAGGCAGATGCTGCTCGGGGGGCTGGAGGATACCTCCAGGCCTGGGCGTGAGTCCCTTCTGCCCCTAACTGGTCACTCCTGCCTGCGCTGGGCAGTCACGTGTCAGGTACAGCGCTACAGCAGCGAACAAAGACAAGACCTCTGCCTGGGTGCAGCTCATAAGACGTGGTGTCAGAGGCAGGCAGGGAAGGGGCAGCTCTCCGAGGAGATGGGGACAAGAGTGCCCTACCTGCTACCCCACCCAGAATGAGCTGACACCTGTGCGCGCGTCCCTAAGACAGAGGCGTGTGGAAGAAGTGGAGGGCCTGGGGGTCAACATCCAGAGGCAGTAGCTTGGGGCTCAGTGTCCCCCTTTGTCAAGTGTGGTGGTGGTTTAGCCACTAAGTTGTGTCCGACTCTTGGGACCCCATGGACTGTAGCCCGCCAGGCTCCCCGTCCATGGGATTCTCCAGGCAAGAACACTGCAGTGGGTTGCCATTTCCTTCTCCAGGGATCTTCCCCACCCAGGGATGGAACCCGGGGCTCCTGCCCTGCAGCAAGATGCTTCACCCACTGAGCCACCAGCCAGGGGTTCCTTCTCAAAACCTAGTGGGCCTGCGCCTGGCAGCAGGGGGGCTGGGCGGGCAGGGGGCGCTTAGGGAGGGCAGGGGCAGCTTAGGGAGGGCAGGGGTGCTGGGCGGGCAGGGGGCACTTAGGGAGGGCGGGGGAGCTTAGGGAAGGCGGGGGG